CACTGAGTGACCAGGCTGCTTTGACATTACAATACAGTTCAATACCCTCAACACACTACAACCACTACCAATTACACTACCTCCTTCCACCTACAGATGGCAGCACCCTACTAGTATAGGTTTGATAGGGGCCACCTCCACATTTTATGCCTTGATGACACAAACAAGCTTAGGAAAGAGGGAACAAAGTGGGGTGGGAAATGGAAACATCCAAAGGATTGGCTTACAATATAGTAGTCCTTCACTATGTTTGACACTCTTATGTTTGAGAGATGTTCTTGAGCTAGCTCCTTGTATTGAATAAAATATTAAAATTAGAAACTTGGGTCATCATGAACTGGATATAAATGCAGGACAACTTCTTGACATGCCCAAATATGCAAAACTCTTATTGGTGATATTTGACACCCACCTATCTTTGGCATCACATGTCTATTATCTTTTGAACTGGATACACCAAGACCCTTAACATACTCAGTCTTGTTGCATCTCTATTGAGATAAAAAAAAAAAGATAAAAATCGGGTGTGGATGAATTAGACACTTCTCCATTTGCACTTTTTAAGTGCTGCTGTCTAAACTGTCATTATTTTGATGCTTTGCTTTATGAAAACTCTTAGAAATATCTAATTATAAAAATGGCACACTCACAAGAGTCTGTCTCTGTGCACATCTGCACTGTCTCTAGCAAGGTTAAGTATTGACCACATTAGATTAATTCATGGGCACGTAATGTAAAGAATCTTGCACCTTACTCTCAGAAATGTATTTTTCTTCAAACAGTCGCTGCTCTCCTCATATAATGTCCTGATGGTCATGATCATTGGTTTGGCTCTCTCACTATTCCTTTTATGTCATCTCTCCCTCACTAATGTCCTTACTGAATCTGACTTCTTTGTCATCATTCTTCTATTTGCATCCTGAGTATTCTGTAATACAGTGCTATACATGTATAACCATTCTGACTTTGCCTCCTTTTTTTTATAATTACTTGCACCAATTACAACCAGTTCAGATGAAGGATAAGCATTCCAGGGCACCAGAGTGACAATATGGATAAGGTAGATTGGAGACGTACTTAGTTATAAATGTCTAATTCTGTCTCTAGAAGTCACAGATCCTTAATGCCATTGCAGGACATGGCAGAAATATAAGTTGTGAGAATGGCGTATTCTCTGAGATCATACCCACTGGGATAAGCATGTGACTGATGCAACTTAACCACCTAACCAAATGTCTGTAGCAGAAGCACCATGGAACAATGAATCATGGATTGAGGAACAGAGTGAATGCATGAGAGGTGAGCAATGAAATACATGAGAAATGCCTGGAAATTTCATAGCAAATTTCTTTCCAGAACTAAGTTGACTCTCATACCAGGAGCAGTTGAGGGCCATAGGGCTAATAATACTGCAAACCAGACATGACTGATCTCATCGAAACTCTTAAAATATAGAACAAATTGGAGTACAGTATATTGATTCAGACCACTTCTTTGAAAGGTCAGATGTAACATAAAAATCAATGGTTTCCAACTCAACAAGTCACAATGTAGGACAGAAAACAGAAAATACATTTTCACCTATAGGGCTATAAACCCGTGAAACCACCTACCCACCAAGCCTAAATGCCAAGACACTGCTGAAATTCAAAATCCAGCAGGATAACATCAGGACAAATGGGGGGGGGGAGTGAGGAGGGACCTTTGGTAATCCGTCTGCTAGAGAGATAGTGGCCCTAAGATAAATTCAGGAACAGCAAGGTGAAGAGGTCAGGCAAGTATGAGAAGAAGAACTGCATCTAAGTGCAGAAGACTCATTTTTGGCAAATAATAAGGAAGGTTAAAGCTGAGAAAAGCTGTCACTAGGCTGAAATACAACCCTACGGGATACTAAATAAGGGTATGAAGTTCTCCCACCTTATTACCACTAGCCAAAGCAATAGAGAGACAGTTGTAAATGGAACATCTTTGAAAAAGGAGGTGGGGACTTTAAATCTACATGAGGAAAGATTTCATTAATAATAATCCACAACCAAGCTCCTGGCCTAACTTAAGATATTGTGCCAAATAAAAAACTATCCCAAACCCAAAGGTGCAGATAGAGTTGACACATGTGGCAGCACTTGAGGAACAGCCAAAAAAGAATGACATGAGCACTACTGCAGAAAGGGAAGAAGATTGATGAAGTGCAAGAAAAAGTTGAAAATCCTGCCACTATACCTAGTATTGATTTTTTTTTTTTTGAGATATATACAAGAGTTGTTACATTCTTGTACAGCCACTAGTATGCATGGAAAGGAAAATGCATTGCTTATATTCTTGAGCACACTGCCACTGCCACTTTCCAGAGGAAAATAAAATCATATCAAGAGTTAAATACAGGAACTCCCAAAATGAAACACTTAAGAAGGCAAAACTGGATTCTCTCAATCATAGATGGGGGGAGGACCTTCCAGAATGGAACTGGTGTCTGCAGCTAAAACATTTTTCAGAAGTAATCCTCAAAGCATCAGCCTTACTCAGGCTGCATGGTGCTCGAATGGGCCTAAATGGAGAAACAACAGGGTTCTTCCATAGGTTGAGTGGTGAGAATAGCTAAATACCTCAAAGAACTGAGAGGCTATTTGTAAACAAGTGAAAGCAGAACATGAGCCAAACTGTTGTAAGCTAATGGTCCTCAAAAACATAGGGTACGTAGCAAAAACCATAACCAGTGGAGAATGGCCACTGCGAGCAGCAAAGGTAAAGCCACAAGGTTGTAGCTAATCATGCTGTATCACAGGCAGTTGCTCAAGAAAGACTTACTACGTAGGTGGGGTTTACCTGTAGAAGATTCTGAGAGTTCTATTGCCTCCAGCTTGAGGCCAGGCTTGACTTATAATAACTTAGTCCAACAGGCTGTTGCTTGGAGCAGCCTGCAGGCTCATAACCAGTCGATCCAGCACTTCTCTTTTATTGCCTCTTTTAGAAATCTTTCCAGCTCTGACAGGGGAAATGAGTACCAATCAGAACTCAATCTGGGACAGCACAAGTGATTTAAATAGTATTAACATTGTTGTGGGATCCCTGAATTTGAACGTTGTCATAATCCATCCTATCGTTTTCCTGGCTGATGCTATTTGCTTGGTTATGTTTACTAAATGTCAGGTCATCAGACATCATAATTCCTAGATCTTTTACTTGTTTTCTTTCAATGAATAGGTCTGATTGTGTCTTGTACCCTGTGTTTCGTTTAAGCTCATTTCTTCAGCCATACCTTTGAATATATATTTTATATAGTTTTGAATATATAGAATATTCTAATTTTCTCCTCTGGTTTGATTCATATGCACTAATATCAGTCTTTTCCTGTGCCCATGTTCCACCTGTCTCTGGGATTCATGTGCCTCTTTCTTTTTTACATCTCAGTCTGTGCTCCACCACTTGGATTTGATAAGCTCTTTGCTAGAAGATGTAACGTCTATTTTCTATGTAACAATTATTTATCAGGCACATATTGGGATGTAGCTGAGTAGTCCAAGGATTAAACTACAACCTTATTCACTTGTATACAAGCAGGCACCTGCACACTGTATCACACTTAAACCTAACTACCATTCCTATCTCCTCATATATATTTCACAACCTCAGTTGTCTGTTGTGTACTATAGTATATATTCTGCAATGTCTTTCCCTTTTCTGGCGTGTTCTCTTTTAATATAATTATAGTAATTAAAATATATATAATTGTAATTGTTATTTGAATTAAATGTGAAAGATTAAATGTTCAATGCATCATAAGTACTTATTAATCTGAATTTAAAAATGACATTAATATCTGTATAACTTGCTTGTTTAAATAGTTGAATAATTTGCATAATATATCCCCTAAGAAGAGGTATAAATTCTCACAAATACAAATAAAATATCCATAGTACTTAATGTGCATTAAATTTCCATGCCCTGGAAAATGTGTTTAAATTTACAAAACTAAGAATTAACAAAATGCAGTAACATAGTCTTCTCCTGGTATGTTTATTGTATTTGTTTTATTTTGCTCTATTATTTTAATGCCACTTTTTTTCAACGGGGAAACAATATTTCCCATTGTACTACTCACTAATGAAACATTTATGTGCTCCTTTATATACCACATTATTGTAAGACATCAATACAAAAACATATCATGTGCCGATACACCGTGTATCGTAAAAAGTCCCGAGATGAGAAGCCATAGTGTTTGGTCCCTTTAGTAAGCTTCAGAGTTGTGGTCTAACAGTTCCTTAACAGGTAGTGATGGATGCCATGTATGTTGATGGAGATGGTTACAGTGGTAAGTACTCTCGGCTGCCTTTTGCACTCATCACATCACAAAGATATATTAGGATAATTTTAGTTGCATTTTCTTGAAGTATATTGCTTACTTTTTTTTTTGTCTTGAAAGGCTTTATGCATGAGAGCAGTAATCTTTACATGTGAAGTTATATCAACTTGCATTAAGTTTTTAGTAAATAACTTAAAAGACTATTATAGTATATAGGGAGTATTGTGTTAGAAATTATTTATAAATTTACAGTACAAGTCCAAGTTACTTATATTGCCCATATTTTGACAAATAATTGTATATGGATATTCTAATATAATATATTTTTAAATAATTTTTGGTTCAAAATATGCTGACATGTGTATACTAATCTTTTTGTCATTTGAAATTTTACTTTTTGTATAGAATAGCACATAATAGTCATTATTACATTTGTAACCATTTAAGGCTTTTATCATTATACAATATTAATAATGAGTTTATTGCCAGAAGAGTATTTAAAAATTCAACAGTATATAAATACTGTACAGTATATGTACTGTACTCAAAGCAGTTCCCTTTCATAACTATTAAATAAGTAATGAATAGTATAATTCATAAAGTACTTTTCATTTTCTGACTATATTTTAATGAGATTGCTGAATTATGTTAATTATTGTATTAGAGGAGAATTACTAATGGTTAATTCACATTTCAGCGTCATCGTAAGGATGTGAGCAACTTTGACAAGCAGTTCACATCTGAGCGCACTGAACTAACTCCCACTGATAAACTGTTTATGATGAACCTTGACCAGACGGAATTTTCTGGCTTCTCTTATCTCAACCCAGAGTACATACAGCATGTGTAAAGTACATTAAGCACATGTGAAGTGCATATTGCACACGTAAAGTTTGGAAAAGATAGACTATACTATATCATTTCTCTGCATTTATCTTTGTATCAGTTCATTTGCACTTGTTATTGAACAAGCATCATATTACTGTTCCACAAAAAAATTGTGTAAAAATAATTTGTTACATATACAGTATTCATTAGCCATTTTCAGACCCATTTCCTTCACTTGTGCAACAGTCCAGTAGGCAAACGATGAAGGACGACTGTTAAACCTAAGTAGATCAACATTATCAATGTTGATTCATTGTTACACCAACATCTGTTGCCTGCTGGGAAGATTATTACATAGGCAAGGGATATTAGAGTAACATGAAAACAATGCTGGGTCAATGCTGATAATACTGATCCAATATTGAATCAGTGCTAATAACACTGAGACAATGTTGAATCAGTGTTCCTGCTGGACTGTTACTTTGTGCGCTTGACACATTTAAGCTAAGAGGAAAATTTGACGTTAAATTCAGCCCGTGTTATATTAGTGGTTTAATTCAGTATAAATGATTAATGTACAGTATTAATAATTTAAGGTGTGCATTCTGCCTGCAAGTCAGATAATATTCATCCCCCAAGTAATTATCTTAATTATTTTAAATCATTGGCCTAGTAAATTATAAAAATATTAAAGGACAAATTTGTCTCTGCTTTTAACACTAACTTTTCATGGTGCGCTAGACAGCAACAGGTTCGTGTATCAGTATTATAAAGAAAGATTTGAACTGTGTGTGTATGAAAATTGGGTTAATAGGCTTCTTTAAGAAATCTTAACAAAAAGGAAAAGATATAGAGAAGTGCCATTGTTGTCAGCAACAATGACATTTCATTTTCATTTCAACAATGAAGCACTTTATACCCTTCACTACTAAGAGGAAAAAGTTGAATTTTTAAAGAAAGGGTAAATGTGTTAAATTTTAATGGACTTGGCATTTTCATAACCCTTATTGTGATTAAATTTTGTTTTTTGCCTTATTTCAAATGTGTCCTGCTAACAAATTCGGTAATGTAAAGGTACCATTCACCCTTTTAGTCAGAAACTACTCAAGTCCAGTCTTTTCCCAGAGTTCATTTTGTAGTTTATCCTTCATATTGCAATTTTAAATTGTTTGACATGATTTTCACAGAAGAAGGTTATTAACTTGAGTTGAAAATCACCACTATAAATTTGAAATGCACAGAGAATGATATTGAAGCATGTGTGCTTACCACAGATCAAAGTATATAAACCAAACTAAGTTTTATAATCAAAACTTTTGCCTCATTGCAACTCAAAAGTGATTTATAGAAAGCTACAGATATATATTTTAAGTCCCAAATATATTATCTATTTTAAGTTTATGCCCTTCTCATGTGTTAAAATGTTTGATATGATATTGAGTAAAGTATGGAAAACACATTAAACTTAATTTTCTTTATATGTAATTACAATTATGTGAATTGTGTATAATCAATGTTTATAGTAAGTTTGACTTTCAGTATGGGTTAGTAAGTTTAACAATACTGTATAGAGGTCCACTTTTATACTTGTATTTGATCTTTATATTACATTATGGAATAAAGAAATTGTGTATTAAAGAAGATTTTTACATTTAATAGCTATATTTTGTGAAAGTTATTTTCCTCAATAAGTGCAATAAAAGTATTGTGTGCTAATGTTCTATAAGAGATTTTTACAAGTGTTGTGAAATAGTATTAATTCTTAAAGTCATTAATGAACGATTTAAGAAAATTGCTAGTCATTAAGTGTAGTACACTACTGTGTATGTTAGACTATGGCCACAGTATAGTGCAGTATTTTTTTACATTTGTAGTTCACAAGAAAGTGTATTCCTGTGAAGGCTGTTAGTATGTTCGTGTTCACCATAAGAATTAATGAGGTGCAGTAGTTTATTGATATTATATTTTATTAGCAATATACAATTCATGGGAATTAGTGTTAATTAATAATTCAGGGATTTTTCTATGTATCATTTAAAAACTTATTTTTATGTGATTTTGTTCAACAGTAATATTACTGCCACACTGCCAAATTTCCATGAAAATCCTTTCTTAGCTCTAATGTTTTAAATGCAAAAGGATTTATATGCATGGCTAAAAACTCATGTTTATTACATTGTCAAATAAGAACAATTATATTAGGATAAATAACTATATTAAATATTAAGTGTTCTTGTGCTGTTTAGTTCTACTGAATATGGCCAGCTGATAATTTTCTGTTTATTTGCACATTTAATTACTTCATAATTTATTGCTGTCTGTGTACTGTCTGATTGATATCTTGCTCTGGCTGGAAGCTTCTCTTGTTTGAGTGTTCACTCCTCCTTAAATAAGCGAATGGCATTCCAAAGTTAAAAGATTAAAGAACAATTTAAGCTTTTGATCATCATCACTATCAGCAATATCATCACCACCATCACCCAGTTGTTCACTTTCAAGAGGTGTAGTAAAGACACTTGCCCAGTGAGAATAGAAAAAATACTGATAGAAAATGGATCAAATTATAGTAATTAGCTTAATAGAGATATTACCTTTAATAAATAAATAATGTATGACAAACTAAAACCATTAAAAAACCACATATTAATAAAAATAAAATACCATAGTCATTTAAAATGGTAACTAAAAGGGATGTATCCCTTTATAATTAATTATTTACTGGGCAACATCACCACATAAAATGCATTATCAAAATAGTTTTAGTCATTTATTCGTTCCTGATGACTTTTCATTTACACATTTTAACTTATATTGTATTTATATACATGCCATGCTCTTTCACTCTCGATGTAACTGCCAAACTTCTATCAACAAATTCATTTAAATACTCTCACCATTTCTCTATCATTATTTGTTTATTCAGTATTTATATACCACTGTTGGGCACTCTTCTCAGTTAAAATATTTCCCACTTAATAACATAAATTGGGCTGGATATCTTGCCCCCAGATAATATTTAATTGCCTTGGCTGTCTTGTCCCCAGATAAAATATATTGGGGGTGGCTATTTTGCCCTCAGATAATATAAATTGGGGGTTTGTATTTTGCTCATATATAAATTAGGATGGCTCTCTTGCCCTCATAAAATTAGGGTGGTTATTTTGCTCTTGTATATAAATTGCACACCACATAATATAAATTGGGTTGGCTGTCTTATTCCCCCCATATAATATAAATTGGCTTGACTTTCCTACAACTTAAAAATGTGCAGTTTACATAAACTTTAAGAAAAACTGTTTGGATTTAAGTATTTTGTAAACCATAATTTTTTTAATAATTTTACCACCAGAACAATTAACCATCCCACCTCTATCTGGATTTTTAAGGATTATCAAGATAGCTTCAATAAACTGGACTGATAACTTTTAAATACATTAGGGTGGTCATTCCACAATTTGGGACCCTTGATTTGCATTGCATTTCTGCTTTGGTTGAGTCTCACTCTCGGAATATCAATGAGATATTTGTTTCTTGTGTGGCGACCATGAGTTCTATTACAGCCTTCTAGGAAGTGCTTAAAGTCAGGAGTGGCATTGCAATACAGAGATTTATAGATATAAAGAACACTTGAGAGTATGTACAGAGACTTGAACAGTTAACATGTTCAAGGATTTCAGTAAGGGAGCAGAGTGGTGTCTGGGACTGGAATTTGTGATTGTTCTAATTGCTGATTTTTTTTAAGTAATTAGGGGTCAGAGGTAATTAAGGGTAGTGGATTCCCAGGTACAGATAACATAGGTGAGATATGGATAAATGAGGAAATATTACAGAGTACTGTACTCTAACTAGGGCAGGGCATGTTAATTCTTAGATAAATTTGATTGTTGGTCTTGTTACCAAACAAAATGTAAAAGTCTTGTCGATATTAAGGTTAAGTTTTTTAGTAGTTAACCACAAATGGACTTGATTTAGTTCAGTATTCACCGTGTCATTAAGAATAAGTGGGTTAGTATGTGAGAAAATGAAGGTTGTATCATCAGCAAATACAAATGGCTTCAAATGTTATGTGGTGTTTGGAAAATCATTGATGTATATGAGAAAGCAGAGTGAACCAAGTATATTACCCTGTGGAATGCCAATGTTAATTGGTAGAGTGGGAGATGTAGCATCGTTCACTGAAATATACTGCTGCTTGTCACTGAGGTATGAATGAAAGTACTGAAGGGAGTGACCTCTGGCTCCATAGTGTTGGGGTTTGAGAAGATTATTGTGGTTAATAGCGTCAAAAGCATTATGTAGGTCAATAAACAGACCTATTCCTGCACTTGTGCCGTTAATATGTTTTGGTGATACAGTACCACTAATTCACCAACTTCGTGCAGACACAGTATTGGTAGATATTGGTGGTATTATAATTAGCAATAAGTATTTGATTGTGCAACACCTTCTTTATGTGCATAACAGTTCAGGTAATCTACTTGATTTTGTTAGTTTTATAAGTTCAGTTAAAGGCACAATGGCACAGACTAATAAACTAGCCCCAAAAGGTAAAATTATGAACTATTCTTTACAGTATTCAAGAAAGCAATGTTTGTTTTATTTAGCAAGACTTAAACCTCTCTACAAATTCTTGAGCTAAAGTATTATTGTTGTTGAGACATTAAGATATTTATCTGGAAAGATAAATCAAGCAAATCTTTTGAGAAGTAGAAAGAATATTTATAAATATAAATTTTAAAGTAAAAATTGATTAGTAGTCTATACCATTGAGTGTGGTATGTTGGTGCTGTATTCCCCATTTTTTAACACTATTATTTATATGTTTCCAATAATTTTATTCAATATATTGCAATATATATAATGAAGGCCTCATGAAAGTAAACATTTAATAATTTTAGATATTTTAATATCTTTCTCTAAAGGTAGTACAGTTCTTCCGTGGGTGCTTAGTGCCGGTTAGTCTTAACCCTTTTATTGTATTAATATAGTATTCTGTATAATTTATCTCAAGAATATATTTTGTTAACTCTTTGTGACATGCAAAATATTGCTTTATAGGAGAAGTTTTGTTGGGGTAGATGATGAATATCTTTTATATTTGTTTATTACTATTGTATTGTATAAAATATTTTATTTGATATTTTCCTTTCATGTTGTGAATCTGAAGATTATATTTTGTTTTAATATTTTTATTGTAGTTACTAGTGGTGATATTAAATAAAAAAACTTTTATAAAACTTAAAATAATGGCCATACATAATTAAATTTTATGATCAGAGAAGATAATACGGAAATAATTTACATGTTTGGAAATGACAGTATTTTTATACTTTGCTATAAATATTATTTTCTCAGGTTAATACACTTTCTTGTGATCCATTTATTGATAGTTTAGGATACTGGGCCTCCAAGATAAAACTAATTACCATAGATAGTTTTAAAAACAATTAAGAATAAATTTTCAGAACCTATTCCATTTCATAAATGTAATTATAATAATAGAATCAAAGGCTTGTGTGTGTATGTGCCCCACAATGTGTTCCGTTTATATAGAAGAAAGTCTTTCTAGGAGATATGTTAGGTCAAGTGGCCAGGAGGCATGGACAAGTCTGAACATTGTAACGGTGAATCTTTTGAGTCCTTAAGTTGTTATATATTTTTAGCTGTTAGAAGAGCACAGTGAAAATATTATAGCAAGAGGAACTTTTACTAATTTAAATAATTGTCAAATATATTAAATTGTGTCAAATTCAATAAGCTATATATAATAACATCTTATTTCTTATATAAAACAAATTAACGTATTAAGAATGTGATTTTATCAATGTGAAATCATATGATTTACCAGTAATTTATTAACTATTAATCAGCACTGGTTACTAAAGTATCTTGGATTTTGTTGAAAATTTGCTACAAATACTTTCATGCCAAATTCATCCAAGAGAGCTTGCATTAACTGGCTTGATGCCTCATAAGGTTATAGGTTAATGTTCAGCTTGTTGTTTTTATACCATCAATCAAATGATGAAATTATTGTAAGCAAAATTTGCTGAATTGTTAGTGATCAGTGTGTATTGAGCAGTATAGGGATTAATGTTTTATCTGACATAATTATCAGAAAATAGAAAAATAGTTTTTCTAATCCTTGTGCTTTATACTGTGCTTTAATGCTAGACTCATTATATTGATTTGAGTCATATTTTCAGACTCGCTTGAAGCAGTAAAAGTGTATAATACAGAATCAGTGCAACTCCCTAGACTGCCAATTATTCACACAGTTATACAGTATATATATGTATCAATGGTGTATACTTTATAAGAGTTGCATTATATCTGTTTGTTTTTATTTACACTTGTTTAAAAAGAGGGAGAAGCGTAATTACACAATCTAATGTTGTAGGTAGTGTGGGATCTAGAACTGAATCTCTGTGGCACTCCTTTGTGCAGATGTACCAGTAATGAATGCACCAATTATCACGTATGGATGCTGCTGGTGTCCTTCGTGTTAACTCTGCTTCACAGACATGGCTGAGAGGGTTATCATGAACTAATGTTGAAAACAGACTTGTTTATAAAAAAAACTATGATATATATCTTTTTAACAGTTAAAAGAACATTTCAGCATAGTACAGTACATACTAAATCTAAGAATTTATGTTAGTGGTAGCTGTAACCCTTTCATTCATAGTCTTAAGATTATCTAAATGGATGCAAGTCACATTATACACAAGACAGTTCACCAAAGGATTTTAAAGCCCTAACCACACTTAATCAAACCTAACCAAATCCAAACCAACCTTATCTAACCAACCGAGCCAAACACCTAACGTGAGTTTTCCCGAGTTTACCTGAGGACCACTAATATAGTGGCCTCAACAAGGACAGGAAGCCGGCAGCTTGTCCAAGGTCTCCCGATTTGCCTTGATAATCTTTTCCAGTTGGATTTTTAAATTCAACAGTCTTGGCATTTACGGCTTCGGCGGGTAGGTAGTTCCATGGGGTTTATAACCCAAACCTAACCTAACCTAAACTAATACATCCTAACTTAATATATACATTTTAAACAAAAAAGAAAACAAGCTTTGTAGAATCATCTTATGTATGACTTGACAATACCCCATCATAATCCACAGCAATGACTACAGACCATGACTTGGGATACATGAATGTAATGCCATTCAGAGAGATCCTGAAGTGCTTCCCACACTCATTTTCTAGTTCCCTTTGTATGTACACTTTTGTCAACTTGACACCAGAAATGGTATAAGTTTTCATAATATATTCTACAAAATCAAAATTATAATAATTTTATTGTTAAGGCAGCATCAATAGGTAAGATAAATAATACTTAAAAGTTAGTTTTTATATCATAATTTGCATTTATATATAAAGCTGCTATGATCTTTTACTTTGTAAATATTGTTACATTTTTCTTTGTTTTCTTGCTAAATAAATAATATTTCCATTTGCAATTGTTACCAGTAAACATTGTGTCATCTGGTGTCTGGTTGGTCTTGTAGAGCATAGTCATGCCTTTTTGCAGTGTTGAGCAGAAATCAGGCCTTGTATTTTGCAAAATTGTGTAACAAAGAAAGTTTACGTCTCTTGTGAATGCTCTTTGAATAATATTTTTGTAATACTATTTTTATGAGACCACAGTGCCCAAGTTAATGGGCCTTGCTTTGGTAAGAAGTAAAGTACTGTATTGATATATGTTAAAACATACACGTTTAAAAATTTAAACATGCTGCATCTAAGTATATAATAATTTTCAAAGTAGATATGCTTTGTAGGTTTCCCCATTTAAACATTTCATATATAAATAGTTAGGTATATATCAATAAAGTGTAACTTGCTGGATTGTGATTTAAGGCATACTAAGTGACAGTACATTTGTACATTCCAATATTTTGGATAAAATAGCCATGAATGTGTTTTTCTCTTTCACTGATATGCAGATTAAACTCCAACTTTCCATTTCTATATGTGCTATGATAATACTAAAAAGTATTCACTTTCAGCCACATATTTACCTTCTGCCTTGCATATTCTGATCTGTACAAGTTTTGCTCTCAGTATAAGTTTAAGTTTGAATATATTGAGTCATTTATAATATTTTTTTTTAACAGGGTAACAGTATAATCTCTTATACCTTCCTGCATTGTTTAGCGTAGCTTGTATGAATTATATTATACTATTCTTGAAGGTATATCTTGGGTCCAAATGTAAGTGGCCAGTGTTAGCATATAATTACTGTTGATAATACTTTATAATGTTTAGTGCATCACTTTTGCTTTCCAATTAAACTGCCATGATGTAATCTGAAACTGTTAAGGACTTATGGTAGCTCTTGTCATGTTTAATATTTGTGTAGTGAAACTTAGAACATATTTAGTACTGTAAATCAAATTAATTTTCTGTTATGGAGATAATTTTGCTTCAGTGCTCATTTCTGTAATTTCCCTTTCCATGTCGCTGAGTTTTATTCACTTATAAACTAAATATTATGCTTAATATGAGCAGTCTTTTTTTTATTAGTGTAAAATAATATATATTTTTATTGTTGTTTGGTCTGTTGAAAATTAAGTTTTTCTTTTTGTAGGAGAAAGTGAGAAGCTGAACAAGAGAGCCCTGATTTTGATAATGTCTGTGATTTTGGAATGTATGTATGTGTGTATATGATGTATGTTATGTATGCATGCATGCATACATGTATGTGTGTATATGATGTATGTTATGTATGCATGCATGCATACATGTATGTGTGTATGTGTGTGTGTGTGTGTGTGTACTCACCCTGTTGTGCTTGTGGGTGGTTGAGCTTTGGCTCTTTGGTTCCACCTTAACTGTCAATCAACTGGTGTACAGATTCTTGAACCTATTGGGCTCTTATCAAATCTACATTTGAAACTGTATGGAGTCTGCCTCCACCATATCACTGCCTAATGCATTCCATTTGTTAACTACTCTGACACTGACAAAAATTATTTCTAATGTCTTTGTAGCTCATTTGGGTACTAAGTTTCTACCTGTGTCCCCCCTTGTTCGTGTTCCATCCATGCTAAATAGTTTGTCTTAGACCACCCTATCAATTCCTTTGAGAATTTTGTAGGTGGTGATCATGCCTCCCCTTACTCTTCTGTCTTCCAGGGACATGAGGTTTAGCTCCCGTAGCCTTTCCTCATTGCTCATACCTCTCAGTTCTGGGACTAGTCTGCTGGCATACCTCTGAATCTTCTCTAACTTTGTCTTGTGTTTAACTAGGTATGGATGCCAGGCTGGAGCTGCATACTTCAGGATTGGTCTGACATAAGTGGTATACAAGGTTCTGAATGATTCCTTACATAAGTTTATAAAGGCAGTTATTATGTTGGCCAATCTAGTACATGCTGCTGATGATATCCTTTTGATATGGGCTTCTGGGTATAGGTTTGGTGCAATATCAACCCCCAGATATCACACCGAACCTGTCCCAACCGCCAGATTTTTCTCTCTATTTGACTCGTGGAGGTTAAATCCTGCAAGAGTCAAATAGAGTGAAAGATTTGGGGGGTTGATATCACACCAAACCTGTCCCCAGAAGTCCACATCAGAAGCCACATGTGTGTGTGTATGTATTGATGTATATATATATACTGTATATATATATATATATATATATATATATATATATATATATATATATATATATATATATATATATATATATATATATATATATATATATATATATATATATATATATATATATATATATACACTGTATATATATATATATATATATATACATATGACATATGTCATGCCTAATAGCCAGAACTGCACTTCTTAGTCTAGTATGATGTAAGGTCCAATGTTCCTAACAGGCAAAATGATTGTTGTTCTTTTCAAATACTGTACAGTACTGTATTTCTTTCCAGATTGGTTCTTTCTAACAATAATAATCTATTATATTAGGAACATGAATTACTGACTTTGTTATATTAAATTATGTTAGATTAGGAGAGGTTTGATCAAATTTCTGTTAGTTTTGACTCAAATATCATACAATTGCAATCATATATAATACAATGAAAACTATTACAGTATAAGACATTTTTTTTGTTAAATTTAATATTTCATGAAAATCGGAGTTTGTTAGGCAACTCTGGCTATTAGGTATGATATTTTATATACTCTATATATATACTGGTGTATATATAATTATTTATTTATTAAGGGAAACAGACCTAGCTAGAATTATTTATAGCTAATAAGTATGGATATTTAATGCAACTTTGAAGTAAGTTTTGACAAAGCCAAAACCTACTCATAAAATGTCAGTACAGTATTATGGATGGGTACTTTATTAACCTTGTGTGTTTTAGTAATAAATATGTAAAGTGATTGCCAGTTCCTCATATGAAGCTGGTTCAATCGGTGATAATAAATTTTTGTTTAACTTGTTACTTTTATTTCAAACAGTTGATATCTGAATTATTGCTAAGTTTAGTCTTTTTATATATACAGTACATCATATACTGTATGGCCAAAACTGTCAGTGGACTTAGTAGCCCTATTTCATTGAATATGATGGCATATTCTGTGTTGATTATTTTCTTGTTTAGTGGTGTCTATCCCTCTGACTAGTCTTTTGCATCTTGGTTTAATTGGAAGAGGATCACAAGCAGGAGAACAATTTCCTGACCTGGTGCAGAATTTCTTTCTCATATACATAGCATGTGACAGAGCCCTCTCGAAGTAACAGCATTCTAGATCTTTTACTAACATCAGAAGAGGGCATGATCGATCTAATTCAGGTAGGGGGGAAGCTCATGTGTGATTGCAATAGTCTTAGATGGATTAAAATTACAATAACTTATGTAAAGGTCCAGGAGGTTGACTTTCTAGATTACCATCAGTGAGACTATCAAGGAATGAAAGAGGAATTCCTAAATACTCTACCTCCTTAAAGGAGCTGATAGGTGACAATAGCATGGAAGCATCATGGGAAAATTTCAAAAAGGTCATAATTGAACTGGTTCAAAAATATGTGCCAAAAAGGAGAAAGAAAGGAAAAGGAACTAGATGGATGACATAGGTAATAAAAAGAAGTTTGTTAACTAAGCAGAACATCGAGATGGTATAAATCCATGATGAATATCATATATTATGAGATACAGTATATAAAAGGGCATTAAATTCAGCCACCCAGGAAATGACATTAACCAAAAGAAAATACAAAAGGAAACTTGCCCAAAACATAAAGAAAGAGCCAAAGACATTCTATGCCTATGTAAGAAGAAAAACCAGACTTAAAAGATAACACTAACCAAGTTATAATGGATGATATAAAGCCAGCAAACACTTTGAATACTTTACATCATTTTCAAACTAGAAAGATTAGATATCCCATTACCTATAGAAATATTTGAAGGTGAGAATGAATTATAGGATGTATCAATAATGTGCGATACATTCACGAAGAGCATTGACCAATTGAAAGACTCAAAAACCCCAGGTGTGGATGGAATTCAATCCAAAGTTATGAAGGAACTAGCAGATGCACTATACCTACGTACATGCCACTTTTCAGAAAATCTCTGGACCTAGGGATAGTTCCTCTAGATTGGAAATATGCAAATGTTACCTATTAAAAAAAAAAAGAGGGAAGGGGGCAGAAAGAACTTTGCAGAAAGTAGAAAAACACAGCGTGATCAGCTTGACATCACACACCTGCAAACTCATGGAGATAATACTAAGGAAGGAAATCATTCCACCCATCGTTACAAACCACGTTGCTTTTCGCACGTATGCATTACGGTAAAAAATCGCCATATTGGAATTAAAAAAAATGGAAATTAATTTCCAAATGAAATGGACCCAAAGCAGCATGTTCTGGGTCCTCTGATAGGTAAGGAGAGCAGGAAGTTCTCCTAATGTTTCAAAACATCATGAAAACCGTTAATTTAAAGTGTCCTCTTCTAACCTATCAGACCTAAAACAGAAAACAGGACTGTACGTCAATTTTGCCAGCTGCATTCATTTTCTAGTACACCAATTTTTAGTCGTAGTGCTCATATGAGCGAAAAGAGACGTAATTAGTAAGAGGACGGGTTGATTGTCCGCCATCCACCTCTGCGGCTGCATACTTATTTATTTATATACAAGAAGGTACATTGGGTTTGTGAGGATATATAGCATGGTATTTACAATCTTGTAAAGCCACTAGTACGCACAGCGTTTCGGGTGGCTTTGCTACTTTCTCCTTCTGTCAGACATGGAAGTTCTTTCCCTGCTTATTAGTGCCTGGCCGGAAAACTGTTTGAGGCGGGACCAAAGAGCCAAAACTCAATCCCCGCAAGCACAAATAGGTGAGTACAGTGCCGTTCGTAAACTGAATAGTCCCCGCCCCACAATTCCCGTTTTTTTTGACGGGAGGTGGAGGGGGGCCAGGTGCCAGACGAAGACGTCTGTTATGACATCCTTCGCCATACCTTCCGCTTCATTCATCATGTCTGTGGACTGAAAAGGCTGTAGGGGATTTTGAGTTGAAGAGACTAGAGTCTATGGCCTGAAGAGACTGTAAGGCTCCCATCCCTCTATCCTATTTCCGAGTATCGGGCAGCCGGAGCATAACCGCTCCATGGCTGGACCACCACCAACAGCAACAGTGCCGGAGCTGCTGGTGTTGTGAGTGGTGATGCTCTCTACAGGACCCGAGTACTGTCTTGGTGGTGACACTTGATATTGTTGTATTACAACACTAATGTTTATTTGTATTAAGATTTAGGTGTTACAATAGTGAAAGCCAGTGGCTCCGAGGGGCTCAGGGTGGAGCTGGCTGACACCATATTGGAATGTAATAACAGGTAGACTATGAGTTATTACTTTCATAATACAGTGGATGTTGGTCACTTAAGATTTTGTCTATACAAATATACTATACTTTTAAGGCTTACAATATGATAAAATCCGTGTTAGTCTAGGATGGCTACAGCATTGCTAGTGTTCTGAAGACATTGAAGTTTTTCAATGTCTTCAGCCGAGGTAATTTTCGTACTGATTTTTGTATCATCTGCAAAGGATGATGCGAAGCTGTGACTTGTATTTTTGTCTATATCTAATATGAGATTTAAGAAAAGCAGCGGTGCAAGGACTGTACCCTTAGGAACAGAGCTTTTAACTGTGCTTGGACTCGATTTTATATCGTTGACTGTTACTCGCTGAGTCCTGTTTGACAGAAAACTGTGTATTCAGCATCCTACTTTACCGGTTATTCCCATTGACGACTTCATTTTATACTGACTAGTAAGGAATTCTTTTAAAATAAATGAAGCTAAAACACAAACTTAAATATTCCTAGGCCTAGTATAGAACATATATGTACTGTATTAGGCCTCAGATATTGCATATTAGGCCTATGGAGGTTAGGATAGGTTAGTTTAGTTTGTCAAAGCAACACAAGTAAAAAATAGTTTTCCAGTTTGTCCAACTCAATAGTTCAGATTTTTACATTCTAATTTCATTGTACATCGGTATATATGTACTATGGTTCTCATCGTTACAATAAGTACTATCAAAACAGGAAGATGGGCTGGCTATTCGGATATGACGAAGTTTTGCCAGAAAATTATCCAGCCACGAAAATCGCCAGATACTGTACCTCAAATATTTGCATCAGCGGGCTTCCGATATGTGAACTTATACAGTACTTGGGAAAACTATATTTTAACTTATTTTGATAGTTTACCCCTGGTATATTCTGTACTTTTTTAAGGCTTGCAATATGATAAAATCCGTGATAGTCTAGGATGGCTACAGCAATGCTAGTGTTCTGAACCAACATTGTGGATCTTAATACTGGTATAGACATAACTTGTAAACATTATATTTGTTTTGCAGTCAATGGTGGATGAATGTTGGAGTGTTGAAGTTGCTATTTGTATAATATCGTGTAGTGGGACACTCGCAAGTTCTCAAGTGTAGGTTTCTTCATAAATATAACTAATCAGGTGAGTTAACAATAACATACAATATTGAAATAATATTATTTATCATTTTATTTGAAAAATGCATAATTGAACATCTGTTAATTGTTATAAATAGCTGTAAAGACATTTTGAGTTAAATATTGAAAGGTACACAATACCGTATTTCTATTTATGAAATATAATGCAATAATATTCTTGAAAGTTAATGCAGAAAGCCAAAATATGGTTATTTTTTAATTGCATGATGACTAATAGCCCCCCCTTCCCTGGGATAATTAGTCATTCATGGGGTAAAGTGATAAGGTTAGTAGTAAGTTCATTTACTACAAAATACTGCAATAATGGTACAGACTCCAGAGTAGATAACTGGAAACAAAATTTAGTATTGATCTTTTGCCTAAAATCTAATTTTAATGTTCAAGTTATAAATTTGAAAGTGAAACTAAATGTGGACATAGGTTATCATTGATTTTTAACTTGCTCAAGTGTTTAAAATTGAGGAAATAATGCTTAGCTAAAGTTCAAGAGCATGTAATTGCAGCCTTTTAAGTTTGTTGTCATTTACCAATATAAATACAAAGTAAATATTGTATAAAGTTAGCTTAATGAATTCCACATCATTTATTTATTCACAAATGACTGAAGAAAGTTTTAACAGAAGAGTAATGACTCTTGGCACAAAACTAACAAAATAGTAAAGTGGTCATTGTACTTCCCCGAACCATAATTTCCATGGCATCTGATAATCTCTAAGGAAAACTCACATGCAAATATTTCCCTCTTGATCATGGTAGATTAGTATATATGTGGTAAAGTGTAAGCTCTGAAGGGCCAAAATTGTTCTTAACCCAAGGTTGAGAACAGGATATTCACTTCTTGACTATCTTGCAACACAGACGGTGCTACATAGTCTTCCTGGTTCGGCAACTTTTAATAATCACTTGACATCAATTTGAAAACCTAAATTGTCATGCATTCCAGTTTCTATACTCTTCATGTTCTTGTATCTTTCTTATTCTAGATGTTATACAAACATTGCTGTTTGAATAACGTAAAATGGTAACGTAATTTAAAAGATCTTGTCATATTTTAGGTTTCACAAATTTTAATATGGTTAAAACTTGACCAGATTGTACAGGGATGAAATTACCATAGCATTTAAAGTTGATTAACATCAAATTTGGAATTGTACATTAAAGATTGATAATACTGTACCTTCATTCAAGTATTAAGCATTCTTATAGTATACAGTAATAGAATGTGTAGTCTCAGTTTGGAAGATTGACCAATAAACTAAATTGTACACATTGTATAATTAACATGACATGGCAAAATATTAAATATTTTGCAAGATTGATGTTACATAAATCTTCCAAGGAAGTCACTGATCCAGATTCTTGAAAAGATGAAGTAACTTCAATAAATACATCTGGCGAGTTTAGTCTTGGTTTAATGATACTAGATTTTGGCACTGTGGATTAAAATCATAACTAAAATTAGAAGGATTAAAGGGGATAAGTTGCTGTATGATACATTACAAAAGCTTAATGTGATAAAATTTCCCTAGCTATTTAAGGTAAACTCAAGTTTGTTTAAATACTGAGCAATTATAAAATAAAATTGAAACTGTATAGCCTAAATGGGGCTTAGTCCTGTTACCTGCTAAGTGGGCCCAGGCAATCCTCCAAGATTCCCTCCCTTCCCAAAGGCTAATGCTTCAGGTGCTGAATAACCTTTGAGGTTCAAGTACTTGTCCTCATGTCTATCTATGACTTATATTGTGCACCTCACATGGCATTTCATCTCATCATTAGACATTGTTATAATTATGCTCCCTGTTGATTCCGAAACGAATGATCAAACGTCCTGGTTTCTGGAAACTGTAGGCAGGGTATTTCAAGAACATTATCCCTAATGTTCTTATGAACATTAGGGATAATGAACACAACAAGGTCTGTGCTTATATGAATTAATGAAGTAGTTCATTTAGTTTCACTAAATATAATTTTATGATTAATCGGGTCTACTAAAAAATTTGTTGCCCTTTATGGTCCCTAAGGGGGTATATAATTACCTCTTCTAGGTACTGCTTTAATATTTGAACTCTGGTTTCCCTTCAAAATGCATTTTGTTTTTTTTTGAGCTGTTATATACAGTTTTATTAAAATACATCTTGTGATTGAAATCCCAATAATGGTTTACACTGGAATTATTGAGAATATCAGGAGCCATGAGGATTCGAACCTGCACACTGGATACTTGCAAACACCCGCCTTAAACCATTGAACTACTGTACAACATTGTATAAAGCAATGTAACCTAGGATTCAACTGAATCTTCTAGGAGTCCTGAAGCTTCCACTGAAGCAAAATTTGGGTTTCACACATTGTCCACATGCACTCAGGCCATGGTATTCCTTCAACACATTTAAAGAGAAGCATTTGGGTACAACTATACCAGAGCCAGAGTGTATATGGACAATGTGTGAAACCCTGAGTTTGCTTCAGTGGAAGCCTCAGGATTCCCTAAAAGATTCAGTCAAATCCCAGGTTGCATTACTTTTAGCATGTTATGGTTCAATGATTCAAGGCGTGTGTTTGGGAGTACCCAGTGTGCAGGTTCGAATCCTCCTCATGGCTCCTACTGATTTTCTCATTGGTACATCATATTAATGTGATTTATTTGTGCAGTGACATTATTCCTATCAAATTTTGTTACTGTACTGCTTTTTGTATTCCTCAACTCTTCAATAATCCATGACCAGTGTCTCCAACATATGATAAACTGCAATCGTTGCAATTTATTACAAACACAATTATTATTATTACCTTTGCTAACACAACTCCGGCTGATTTTATTATCACCGCCAGCAACAATGTTATCAACAGTACCATCATTCTCTTCATCATCATTATTATTACTGTATTATTATTACAGTACTGTATTATTACCGTTACTTTTGTTGTTATTGAGTTCAAAGTTTTTCCTAATACACTAGCATGTTGGAAGTCAAAAAAACATGCAATTAATGTCACTGATGTCTTGTATATTTTTCCATAACTGGTATGTAAGGGAACTTTATAATCTATTTTCTTTATTCCATTTATTTATTTTGCTACCATTGTAGAATATACTCTTTGCTTTTTTCTTACAGTTGTCAATGTGCCAGCGGGGGTGAGTGAGTTTTATGAAGCAATTGGTAATATGGTAACTTCAATACTGTATATTAAAACTCAGGTTCCCATAGGCTTGAAAAAAGACCAACAATTAAGTTTTTTTTTTTCAATCAAATATCAAATCAAATCAAATACATCTTTGTATTTTGCCCCCTCCTCCAGAGTGTCACCTTGTCATTGTGAGGGGCCTCACGTACAACTCCCTAGGGCCGGTGAGGGTTGCCTGGGCCCCCCTCTCTTGGTATTGTATGTGCTAAGGTACACACCCCATAGGGATCTTGTTTGGGTCAACAGACCTCCTGCTGTAGGGGGCTACCCATGAGGGATTTGTTGATGGTTTGGTGTCCAGGCTGGGGAGAAAGAGGTCTTTGCACCATTGTGGGAGAATGGGCAATGCAGTAGGATTCCCCTGTTAAAAAGGGGGGAGCACGACTGGGGACAACGCACCCCTTCCAGCACTGGCCAGTGCTCTACCTCCCTAACTGCCCTGGTAGGTGGTATGTCTTGGCTCCTTGACCCAGACTTTTGAAATTAATGCTGTATGGATACGGAACTGACTTCTTTTACGCAGGCTCATAGGGTGGGCGACCAGGCCTCGCAAGATGGCCAGTGATAGAAAATTGGGTTCCAGCTACATTGGCCCCAGACCAGGCTCCTTTGTTGACTCCCGACTGACCCACTCTGCTTCCCTCTCAATTCCGTGGCAGGGTTGAGCCCCAAGCCCCCACCTTGTCACGTAGAGTGGCTCCATATCTCATTGTGACAATGGCGCCTTTTAACACTCCCCTCATACTGGGGGAGCTCAGTGCCGTAACTCCCACACTTGAACACACACGATTCCTCCCAACTCATCTACATTCCAGGATTTGTTTGGTCCTGCCAAGCGGACTAAGTATTTTGATCTTTTTCACATTGATTGTACGCGTCGTGATGATTTACACATACATAAACACCTGGTTGGTTCATTTGATACCCATGTCACTTTTAATCCCACCCACACTGCCACACGTGTTATCTTGAGATGATTTCGGGGCTTTAGTGTCCCCGCGGCCCGGTCCTCGACCAGGCCTCCACCCCCAGGAAGCAGCCCGTGACCGCTGACTAACTCCCAGGTACCTATTTACTGCTAGGTAACAGGGGCATTCAGGGTGAAAGAAACTTTACCCATTTGTTTCTGCCTCGTGCGGGAATCGAACCCGCACCACAGAATTACGAGTTCTGCGCGCTATCCACCAGGCTACGAGGCCCCTGATTGGGTTCCTGCAACTACACGAGGCCCCGTGTAGTTGCATCTCCTTCTCAGGAGGCAGCAGACTGCCTGGCATCATTGTCCTGCATTGGTGAGACCCCAGTTTGGGTCTCCAAAAATGACTGGTTAAATGCCAGCATTGGCACAGTCATTCTCCCGCACCATGTCGTTACTGGAGGTAGAGAGCTAAAAGACTACCATGAGGATATTAAATATATTCTCTCGAGGCCTAAGGCCATTCTATCCTCCAGACTGACACATTCACTCGATCCCCTCGTACGCCATTGTCAGCCGCTTTGAGTAGTCAAAATCTCTTTTTGTTTGTAGGTCCCTTCCGTCTTCCATTATTCTTGCTGGTACCAGATGCTCCATTCAGGAATACCTTCCCTCTCTTCTTGTCTGCAATAGGTGTTGGAAATTTGGGCATGGTCTCTTGTGATGCACTAGTGAGGTATGCCCTGTTCCCCCTTGTGTGGAGTCCCGGGTCATTTTAAGACAGAATTCTCTTCTTCAAGCCTCACTGCATTAATTGCAGTGATGCCCACCTTGCCTTCTTCCACTCATGCATACACTGCAAATTTGTGGATGCCATTCTC